TATAAATAATAATCTGTTTTGATTATTCATAAATAGTAGACGATATGGAATACAGTCTTATCTTATAAGCTACTATGTGGTAATAGGCCGACGTTGTTGCATTCCGAATTTAAATACTAACCAATCAGACTACTGATCGGAGCTGCTCATATACAACTACATGTTCAACTTATAAAACTAACAATGTAATAAGTTACCTTTGCATCTGAAGTATCATCTTAGACAGTACGCTTTTCTCTGAACCTTAACCTTTAAAAATCGTGATGGTTCGCTTCGGTAATACTTTCTGCAGATATCCTAAAAGAGCGAGGGCACTGCCAGTGCATAAGTGCGGGAGATTTGATTAAGAAATGAAACCCCCGGAAGAAATCCCTTATTAATTTCATAGGTCAATTTTGAAAATTATAGTACATTACTACTAAATATATGCTACCTGTCCAATAATTAAATCAGGACATCAGCATAATCTGCCTTTGACCTGCTTAGACATACAATGGTCTGTTAAGTATTTGCTAATACAAATTGATATCAAATCTTGTTTTGTGATACGCGTCAAAGAAATGACAGTAGACAGTGAATATGTAGACCAGTCGGGGCAGAAATGATGACAGCGCATCAAGCAAAACCCAGCCTATCTTTTGTTGTCGTTCGCGGCGCTACCCCTATTATTAAGCCGGGTAAAGGGAAACGTCGCGTGCAATAAATTTTGAATCCTCATAGAAATAAATTTTGTTGAGGTGTCGGTCTCATGAATCATTAGCGTCACTACCGTCATCGTCGACATATGTGCAGCATAGTTAGATATATAATATTTGTGTAAGCCGAAGTCGTCGGTAAACACGCGTTGCAGATAGAGCCTTGTCGGAAGCGTGCAGTATGCAGAAGTTGTTGTAATACACCAAAAAATTAACGAGCCATTACCGCAAAAAGTGTATGCCTCAAAGCAGTCTCTGATATTCAAGCAAAAATCAATCAGGATATATTTATAGATGATATTATTGATAGTACGTGCTGTATTTTATATTTCTTTTCAAGTTAGCGGAACTGATGTTATCCTGAAAAGTTACATGGCAAAACTTCGTTGGGGAAATTCCCAAAAATCTACCCTATATGAGAGAATTATCAAATTTATATTGAAAAAAAAAAGAAAGAAAACAAGGCTCTCGTCTTACAAAACTTCAAAAGCAAAAAGTCAGGGCAGAGTATACTCCAGTTCGACCAACCACAACATTTTGTTTCAAGTTTACTACGAAAAACAACGTTGTCCCTATTGTTTGAAACCAACTAGATTACTGCATGCGAATTCCATCGGTATTGCTTCCATTATTGTCACATATTTATGTTTTCGATCACACACACCCCTTCCTTGTACCTTGATACGAGTATAGATTCTTCCTACAGGCAGAAGGATACAGCCACTACTTTTCAAAAGAAGTCTAGGAGAGAATCGTTACCAATGAATAGTACGTGTCAAAAAGCCTATTCGTCTCTCCTGTAACCATAAAAGCTGCATAGAATAGTTATGTTGCTAGTAAGACAGCCTTATTTGTTTGAAACTAAATGACCAAGCTGATTTATATTTGTTGCAATGTAGGCCTAAAGGGTACAACTGTTTATCAATAGTCGTCTTATTTACAACGTAAAAGCGATATCTCTTCGTAACCTAACCACACTGGCAAAGCGCGGTTATTTTAAACGTTCTACATACGTGATGTGTCGTTCAGTGCATGTATGATTACGATTATACTGATACGGCTCGTGAAGGATTAACAAGGCGATCCGGCAGTGTTCGAGTACGAGAATAGCAAGACTAGGGTCCTGATGTCAGTAGGGCTTACGCCACTACCGCACAACGAGACCAGCGATGAGGATGCGTCTCATTTCTACCCTCTATACAAATAACCCGGATAATGAAGATCGAAGTCAGATTCGACCCGACGTCCGCCCAATTTGCTGTACCTTCCTCTAACACCTGAAAAAAATTTCATTTCTGGAAAATAAAATTCGTAAATAGATACCGTCTCGCCTTAGCAGTGCTCAGTGTAACGATAACTTTCATTTTGCTTGCTCAAGAAAATTACTGAAGGAGGCAAATCGAATAAGATATTTAGGTCATAAATCACATATGTGTCAAGCGTGTCCTAAACGGACCCATTCATCCAGAGTCGAACATCGTTTTGGACGGCTTCTACTCTAGAAGCAATTTTCATCGTTCGTTCAAGCAGTTCGGCAAACGACACTGGAGCAAGGCACAAAGTATTGACTAGAAAGCGTTTTAGGTATGATCTAATGATGGCATCAAAGATAACAAAAAAAAATGGCCTGCCCAAATGCGAAAACAGAATTAGGAAAGCAGGTGTGAACCTCTATCGACTCGTACTATAGGATTTCTGGGCACTGCCTATTTTTTTAGGAATATGTACACATAAGAGCGTGTACATCTAAGTCGAGTCACTTGGACTAAAAGGAAAACATGCATAAAGGCCGCCAGAGTGACGAAACAAGCAAAACGAAATTATCAAGTGATCTTCCGATAACGATAAAGGACTGATGCATGTACGTAAAGATGCCATAAACGAACATAACGTTAGGGAGCACGGACAGCGGTCCGATTTGTTCCCTTTCGTCTACCACGGACCGTTAAGTGGCAAAAGATCGCTTTGATTGAATATATTTTGATGGCTTTCATTCGCTATCAGCAGCGATAATACCTGCGGAAACGGTCCAGCCACGACGCTCTTGTATAGCGTCCAAGTAATAGCATGACGTTATTCGATGCATTAATAAGTGGCAATAAGCGACATTTTAAAAACAAGTGTTGGTATCGTGTCTTTGATTTCGGATAGCGTTTAAACTTAACAGTACCACACAATATGATGCGCTTTCTAAATCAGTGTGATAGACGCCCGTATAAAATGTGAATCAGTCATGACGATATTTTATTGGTTAGAACGTTTAACAGTTACACGCAGTTTCTTTGAAAATGTGTTAAACGTTTATATATATATATATATATATGATTTCTTCGATGCGTCCGATATGTTTCAGCGGAAAAATACTATATCAGTATTTGGCAAGCCTGTTTCCCAGTAAAAATTCATGACTAGACTCTAAACAATTGTATCACAACCGTTGAACGGGTAGAAGTATACGATACAGATGTTAATAGATATTAAAAGATGTATGCTAATCCTTAGCTTCAATTTGGCCGCCCACTTCGTCGATGAAAATAACAAATACAGTATGTATTACCATAACATAATTAGTATAACATAGATGCCTAACGTACCGTGCTGCCGTGGTTCACTACGTATGTGAAGAAGATGTATGATATACAAGTTTGAGTTTGTTCGCTCTTATCAATTCTTTCAATGAATCTCGTACGTTAAATACGTCGCCGACGCCTACTAGACATAATCACAACAACAAACATCGATCGCAGCGACAACGGGCCGGATCGAAGATCAACAAAGATTTTCCCGAAGGTTAACAGAGTTACAAAAACTAGGTCGTTTAGGCGTGCGTGAGCACCAGTTTGTTAACCTTGCAGCGATATAATTGCTATTTTCACTAATCTAATTTTGGGCGCAAACGTTCACAGATATAAAAAAATTTGATTCTATATTGACCTCGATAATAACTATCGTAATAATCCTCCTTAAATGATATTGCAGTCGCGATTAAAGATACGGCCAACCAAGAAGCTCTGGTTTTCTTACCTGCTACGGAATAAGGCTGAAGATAAGGGACTATTATAATTTTTCGAGAACGGCTAGGCTTCGTAGCACTAGGGCTACGGTAGAACTAGCGGAAGTCAAAGGACGAAACGTACTGCGAGCAGCTGCTAAGGCTCGTTTCTATGGAGTGGTATGCACAACGCTGAATTATAGAACGATGCGTATAACCACGTGGTATCTACTGGGCCCTTGCTGGGTTCAGCCAGACGTTATCAACGCCAAGTAACAGAACTTATGAGTTCTGGCTATGGTTGTACAGCGTAGGTGCATGCAGTAAACCGTTCCATTATGCACGACAGCATGCGATTTCATAACGCACGCGCATGGTTTTGTAGAGAGTGTCAACGCAATAGAGAGAGTACTCTTGAGTTTCGATAAAGTAAACTGTCGGAAGTCTAGCACCCATTCTTTGGTAGTGCATGCCCTTTCGATGTCTATGGGTCTGTTCGAGTTATAGTAGTAACACCCGTCAGAAAGTGCCGATACAAACCATAGTCACTTACTTTCGTCGGGAAACTCGCACTAACGTTGTAAAGCCACTCTGGTCACAAGTGTACCTGTGACCATCTTTCTGTTGATCAGTAATAGATTCACTAGAAACTGTGCCCACTGAAAAAATCACTAGAGTCACTTGAGATCAACTTTATAAACTACGTACTACCGAATCACACTTTGACGTTAAGGCAACAACTGGTGTTTCCGTGCAGTGTATCACGCATTGCATTACTGCAACGTCTTACAGCAAGCACCGTCGCGCAACAGAAACATCAAATGATAAATGCTCACCTAGAGGATCCATACCTAAGCTTCATGTAGATCTGACCCATAAACGGCCCAGTTGTTTTCCGATACCCATTCGTATGCACGTAACATGTAGTATAGACGAAATAAATTCAATTTCCTTTATAAGACTTCTATAATCAAATATTTTCGGACGCTGCCATAACGCCCCCGTGTTGCCTACCAACAATGGATTCTATTTATACAGATACATAAGAAGTACGGATAAAGTAAGATTAACCTTTACTTCTAGGTTAATACGTTAACTAGGTAGTCTGTTAGTTAGCGAATAAGCGCATCGTTTCAAATAACTTTGTACAGTTCAACTCCCTCTCCGCTCTGAGAGTAATTACGCCAAAAATAGGCCGTGCACAGCCTTCTCCTTCTGTCTATCAGTAGGAAGTGCCTCGTACCATAACGATTAGATACATTACTTTGCCGATTTGTCCTTTCTTTTACTTAGTGCCGTTGCAATAATTACAGCGCGTTATGCGTGGGCCGCCGAAGACCACGATGAGTGGAGCTACGAAGGAACAACAGGGCCGGACGCGTGGGGTCTCATTGAGATGAGTGGCAACAATCAATGTGCAATGAAGCGACAAAGTCCTATCGATATTGAGGTCATAAGGACAAAATACGATAAATCGCTCAAGCCGCTTGCCCTAACTGGTCACGATAAAATCACTCCCAGTATCTTAGGTGTCAATAATGGACACACAGGTGAGTATATTGGATCAGTTCATATATATATATTAAATAATCGTAGCGTAATGTTATTGTTTGTATTCGTTCGGATATATGTACCCTCACAGCGAGAGAAGACATCAGCAATACGTCGTATAATGATCCATGTAAAATGTCATTGGATCTTTTCACTACCCTGATCGTACAAAATGATATGATTCGTAGTAGAAAATTTTCAGGTCAGGTATTGCAACTAAATGATACCTGATAAAATTTATTCGCACCTTAACAGTACCTAGAAAAACAACAGAATATTTTAGTAATTTATCACAGGATTATGAGTAATCATTCATTCATAGATCGCCTAAGCTGTAACATGTATAGACTTAAGAATGTAAAACGCTTGAAGGCTTACGGCGTTGCTTATTACGTGCGAGAAATAGTGGAAGGTTTACGGCATTATGCGTTATATCATGCCAAAGCCGATACTGGGGCATCACAAACAGAAATATGTTGAAGTGGTCACAATAGCGTTTACTCTTGGCTGTCTATTACTGAGCAGACTTGTTTGTGTTTCTTTGACTGCTTCGTATTTCTGTAATGGACTCCAGCGGAGCAAGTCCATAAGAACCGATGAGTGGAAAAACATAAGCATATATAAGAATCAACAGAGCTTCAACTTCATCTATGCTGGTTTATAAATGCGTCTCGACAACGTTTAAGCTATTTTGAAGTTATTTTGCTTAAAGTACCATAGTTCCAGCAAGATCCAGATTATTTCATTTAACTTGGCACTAACTGCTCGTAGTACAATTTCTTCGTATGCTTCAATTGTAGTTCAGCTGAATTCCAACGAGTGGACCCAGAAGCTAAGCGGAGGCCCTCTCTCGGGGGAGTACAAGTTACTGCAAATGCATTTCCACTGGGGCAAAGACAGCTACAGAGGATCTGAGCATACCATTAACGGAAAACGGTACCCCATCGAGGTTAGTCGTACCTTGGATATTTCTTGTGTCCCATATAGAACGTACAATAAGTGTTTATAGTATATCAGACACGCAGAAACGTCCACGTTGTTGAACTTACCTCTATCAATGTTCAGTCCGTGAGCTACAAATATTAAAGTTTCGTTGTTGAAAACATAAACAGTAGAATAATAACCTTTAAGGACTTTAGCCAAAGAACGTTTGAAAAACGTGTTTTTATGTTGTTTAATAATTGTATGTTTAAATAACGAAAAGGTAAGCAAATGCACGGAACGCTATGGCAAAATACATGAGACCTATGAATATAATTGTGTGAGCGTATTTCCTCGTATGGTCATATCGTATAAAACTCAACGTATCCCTATTTTATTCTATTCTAGGTGCATACATAAGCCAAGTGATCCTGCTAACCAGCCAAACAAATAACTATTAATGTGACAAAATCAACGGAGCTCTCTCTAACTATTGTTATGATGAAGTGTTATCACTCTTACGAGTACGTGATAAATACGGCTAATCGAAGACGAGATATAAAGTCATTTGCTCTGCGGTCTCATAGTTACTAAGTTGGCTGATTTGACTGCTTGTACTAGCGAAGCATTGTCATAACGCTCTTGGTAGGCTGTAACTAGTGGGCATCCACGTGTTTTTATTGTATACTATTAGAGTATAGTCACAGAGTCGTCGGTGAAGTGATATCAAGAGAGTGCAAAATTACTAAGCCTTCTCTTAATTTTAGTTTGTGTGGCACACTCGCGTGTTACTCCCGTCTATTCGACATGTCTCATAGAAGCTATGAGCGGCCTTTAATCGCCATGCTGAACAGGCTTAACTTTAGCCGTTTGCACCGATCGGTTCGTTGAATACCAGCAAATGCTTTGGATATTGCGGTTCTCGACGTACAAGTTAAACGTTTAATTCGTAGTGCCTTTTAACTTCTCCAGTATTATCTCTGTATCATGATGATAGAAGAAAAAAAAACTAGATAGTGGCGTGCATGTGGAACGATGAAAAGCGTAAATTTATTCGAGCTAATAGGACATTGCTGCCCTATCAGAGAACCTATAACTACCAATTGTACTGAGCTCTCCTATCTAATGTTTCTCTTTCTGAAAAGATTTATCTAGAAAAAAATTTAACGCTCGATATTCGGAGAACTCGGCCATGACAAGTCGCGCAACGATACAGCCCTCTTTAAGTAATGCTACTATATCAGGAAAGTTGCGACTGTTAGTTTTTGCATGTTATTCTTCGCTTATAATGTCAATATCGTCCAGCTATGGAGTTCTGTTTTTGCTGTGCACACATTTGGATTACTGTTTTGTACATGTATCAGACACCCGAGTGTTTTTTTAAGATAATCTAGCCTTAAACGGCAAACTGTAATAGAATAGTTAGCAAATTCCGCTCGTTTTGATTACCGAAGCCCGTAGACAGTGAGAGATAAAAGAACACGTTATTTTTATAAACTGTTTTTTTTTTTGGCTGTTCGAAATAGTCCGTTATTGCGGTAAGTGAGTCAGTCCTATTGGTTCACCAAATAAAATGCACTTACGGAACTAATATTGGTTTTAACATCAATGAGGTTATAGGTGCAATGGTAAATCGAAGGTGAGATTGACAGTGTAGATCCCAATGTACGTCTCCTTTCAGCTCCATATGGTGCATATCGCAGCTAACGTAACTGATAACACTAACTTCCCGGGCGCCATCGCAGTTCTTGGCATCTTCTTCAACCTCAGCAAGGGCTCAAGTAACATGGGTATCCGGAAAATCGCTAAGGTAAACGATTGAAAGTTAATTGAGATTGGCCTGAATTTATGCTGTATGACTAAAGCAAATTTACAGTTTGAAATTAATGTTCATAAAAGATATCGTCTGTGCAGATTCTGCTTTCAAAGAACTATTATAATTTACGCACATCTTAAGAGTTTACATAGATCTGAAACTTCGTACTTCTAACATGATTGGCTTCACTCATTATGTTTGAAATGCCACTTCAGCTGATCACAGGAATGGAAGCTAATACCAAAATCAATATCACTGATGAGCTGTCGCCTAGCATGTTGCTTCCGTCCAGCCGAGATTTCTTCACCTATGAAGGTTCCCTCACCACTCCACCATGTTCTGAAGTGGTCACATGGCTCGTACTCCGCGAACCTTTAAAAATTACTGAAGTTGAGGTCTGTATACCCTTATTTCTCTAACTACCTACTGAAAATCGCTAGCCGTTTTTACTAGTAATTTCTTTCAGCCCGACTAGAAAGATCATTGTCTAAAATTTGCAGATTTCTGCACAATCATATTTTGATTGACAGAGTAATTCATGACGTGAATGCAGACGCGTGAAGGGGATTGAGCCTGAGAACTGAAATTGAATTCCAGTTTTCAGTACTCGAATATTTTATACCTGACGGTAAGGATTATGAAGTTAGTACCACTTCTTAACAAATTCTTGCTGTTTTTTTCATAAGACCGTTGATCTGAGGTAAATACACTACATCACTGAGTTGAAATTCGCAACGGTTGTGGCCCAAGTTGAAATTTTCGGAGATTGTGACCTTGGGATTGTTTTGGGGCCTGATAGCGTGCAGAATTCATTGCCAATTGCCTGCAGATACCTACTTGTCTGGTTCCAAGTTGCAAATATAAAATAGCAATATACAATAATGTCCAAATAACGCACACAGTATATGGTGTAGTATATCAACATATAGCTCTCAAATAAATGGGAAGCATTTTAAGGGGTGATTGAAATCAGCAAAACGATCATTTGGTGCGGTAGAGCCATCAATTCCCGTGCCCCGTGTTATTGTTAAACGGAAAAAAGACTTCACCTGTTGGTTTCACGTAACGTTACTTACGCAGCTATATGATGCGCTTATCCAGATTTGAATTATAAAAATAAACATACCTGCTTCTATAGGAGACTTCACAGTTTTAGACGGGTAGAGAAAAATTCATAATGCAAACATATCAAGTGTTATAAAATTTCAACTAGCTACTCCTAATATCCACCCTCAGATGGACTTGATTAATAAACGTCAACATGTAACAGGTACAGGCCATACAACAGTAACATTATAATAATAATAATAACAATAGAAAAACAAGATGAAGTTCCGTGTTGTTATTTAATGAACGTCAGTTCAGTTAATAAAACATGCAAACACATTTTGCCTAGAAAGTAGAATAACTTACACCTGGTTTGGAATCTCATAATTAGAACACACGTATACTTAGGTCACGACGTAATGCTATCGCTTCCTGAAAACAATCTCATTGTTGTTTATTAAAAGATACAATATTTTACTTTATTTAGTCAAATTTTAAATTTGAGAAACCTAGGACACCCACATTGTTATGGTTTGGCGCCGTACGCGGTTGTGACGAGTTTGAAGCGATGCAAGAAAAAGGTCCTATGAAGGAAATCTATACGAAGAGATGTAGGATTCATATTAAATTTCCGACGACGATCTCAATCATCTTTTGTCGAAGTATTTGATTCATTAATATTACATGTATCTGGATGTAAAGCTTATCGTCGACAAACATCTAGCTGAAAATGAATTAGTAGAATTTGTGAAATTCACCCCTTTTCAAAAAGTAAAATTCACTTTTCCGAGAGGTAGTATTGAGGGGCGCGCCAACGTACTAGTAAAGCTATGAAAACTAAGTAGGAGTTGAGTACGAGAAACATGCCTTTACGCAATGCTTCAAAAATTAGAGTCGGTCTTTTAAGAGGCGACTAAGCTCGGCGAGTAAAACCTCTTTGACAGACGTAATGTCGGAAAATGCGTGACTGCGTTACAACCATCGCTTCGATTGCGAACGTTTTACCCCTATAGCCGATAACCAAAAAACAACTGCGTACGCAATAAGACGTTTTTCGATCATTTAGTCAAAAGTATAGATCAGCGAACCTTTTTTTAAACAAATTAAACGTTTTCTGAATTTCTGCGACAAGGTCAGATATTACCGCAAATAGATCGTCTCGTAGCCATTCGAAAAATAGCAGCCTAGAGCAATGCTTGATTGTAATGCCCGCCATTGAATTCGAAATACTTACCTAGTTCAATAGAAGCTCAGAGCTCCCTCTGTATGTACGTGTCCTTAGCTTGATAATTCAAGTGTTAGCGTACATGAATATGACTGGCTAAGTGTTACTTGGAAAAACAAGTCGATGTAACTTTTCATACTTATCTCACCGATTTCAGTTTTTTCAACAAGTCCTGTTGTCTTCTGGAACACCTTTTATTCATTTATGCACACCTATATATTGTACATATTATCTATATAGCATGCATTTCACCGAAATTTATGTCAGTTATGAGACCGCACAGATACTCCTATGTGTGAAACCTAAAGTCACTCGCATAGGTGTTTGCATAAAATCGGATCGGTAGCTGATTGCAAGTTAAAGTTTCAGACGGAACGTAACAAGCCACATCTGATAATTGTAACTAGGTATCAGATTTTGTGATTAGGTATATTATGGCTGAATCGTCCACGTATCGATAGACTGGACTGCTTAGCTGATCATCGATTTCCGTTCTGTGAAGAGTTCATATAATATTTTATGTAACGTTCGTTTGCAAATCTGCTTCATTAACGTTTCTACAGCTTGAAGCCTTCCGATCGACGCAGTTGCCCGACAAAAAACCCCTGGTTGACAACTTCAGGCCAGTACAACCTCTCAACAACCGTGTGGTAAGTAACAGTGTGGCATTGTTTGTAGTAATCTTGTGGAGTTATAGTTGAACTTCATAGAATGTTCGTCATATGGTCAGCTGCGAAGGTTTCGAGCTAATTTTTCGTAAAGGCTGCACATCTATCAATCATTTCCTTCATTAGGAAGTCCCTGTCGCTTTCTATTCGATGCACCAAAGATATTTCTTACCTCTATCTATTTGGGGTCCAAATTCGTTTCTGACAACACTGGGGTCATTTATGGAAACATGCTATGAATCAAACGCAGCCCATTTTTGATAAGTAGAACTTAATAATGTCTAGAATAAGTTGGGAAAGCTAACTTCCTCTTCAAAGTTGAAAAATAAAAACTCAAAATTGCGGTGTTTTCAGGTGCGTGCATCGTTCTTTACTGGGTCATCATCCAGTTTGATGCCGTCGCTCGCTGTTGTCGTCTCCTCAGTTCTACTGTTTCGGCTTTACTGAAGTCAGTCGTCAATAATTTGAGGTTACATTTAATGTTGATTACAGATACAATGTAAAGTGGGTTCTATTGCCATTCAGGTTCCTCCAATTCGCGCGGCTTCGGCCAAAGAGATAATTTGAAGAGGACAAAAGTATCGTAAGTGAAAAGTGTTGTGGAACAGCATTGAATAATATTGAACAATATATTTATTGAACACTAAAGGGACACCAGCTGTGGGAATGCCTATCGTAGTGACATGACGAAAACCCGCTGTATTTAGAGCTAGTTAGATAGCTATTAAACCATTAATGGTAACCACATATGTCGAGCGTAACTAACTTGTAGTGAACGTCAGACTGACGACTGTTAGCTTTACCTATTGATCCTGCGGGAAGATATCGATATCTGATACTGTTGGCCAGTTGGGATATTGTTTCTTTCTGATGCTGCATCTCTTTTTGGCTGGTTTACTTACAAAGGCCCAGCACTTAGAGCAAGTGAGGAATATCGGATTGCTTATAGTTATTCCCGCTTGAGTAACACATATAACATGTTGGAGCCATTTAAATTTGGAAGTAATGCATAGCCACTAGCCATAATTTACTATGTAATGATTCAATTTATCTGTCGTTGAGGTACTTGCGGTTTTAGCTACTCGGGGCCTACGCCCTGTTTTTTTGTTTAGAAAGATTGAATGGGTGATGCGTACATGCTACTTTTATAAATGTGTAATATATTTCCTATTTTTCCAAATGACTCGGCTAACTCATGATGCAGTGAGTGAAATAAGGAAACTTCACTTCTGTTCTAAATTCAACGATCATAAAACGATTCATTGAATAAGTCATCAATTTTTCCAGAAACGTTCGGATATCTAAAAAATGTACTACTACAATGCGTACAGAAGATGGCTGGCTAACAAGACAAAAAAAATGTTTTTTTTTGCTTTAAACTTAAAAAAAAAAGACTTTAAAAAGCAAAACGTGTCTGGAATCAATATTCAAGTGCTATGAAACAGCAGTTACGTCTTATGACTAATTTCTAAAAATTAAACGTTACCTTTTCCTCAAAGTACCATCTATTAATATATGTACCTAAAACTCTACCTCGTTTACTTGTTACCTTTTAGATAATCTGCATTAACCTGTTTCATGATACGAAATACCTGTACAGTAATTACAATAACCGAGAAGCATTGTTGAAAGAGATTTACGTTCAAATCTTAAATAAAACTACTAAGAAAAAAAAAACGTATGTTTCATTTTTTACAGATTTATAAAGTTACGAAATGTTGTTGTTCCGACGGAACCAACACCACAATATCACAAATGAACCTATAACTAAAAACAAGATTTTTCAATATTATACTTTTTTCCCCTTTAGATGATTCAGTTGAGACATTTTAAAGGACAACGTGGTAAATGTCGTTTAGATTTTCTTTGATCGATAACGCCCAATGAGCAGCATATACATGTAACCACCTGTATGGAATGGCTCCCTTAAACGTAAACATTTTGAGTTTATTATTAAAGGGCCAGCTTATCACCAGATGGATTCTATTTTTCATTGAAACAAGATGGGATTTTTCTAATAAGAAGAATTGCCAAATATCCATTATTTGGTAAGTAATAAATGGAGTAAGATAAATATTTAACGTAAAAACAGAGCTTTTATATTTCAGGATTTATTTCTCTGAATTGAATTCAAATCGATAGGCTTATGAGCATGTTTTGGCTAGTCATTTGCCACCGTATGATCTGGGTTCTAAACGGACAGTGCGGTCAAAGAGATACTCAGATCCGCGTCACCCATGGGTATTGCCTAACACTCCCAAAGTCAAACGAGATATACACTGGTCAGAAATCGTTGACAGTCACCCGGGAATTGGCCAGGGGAGCCTATTAATAACAGGAAAATATTGTTGAATTAAAGCATACATAACAGGGAGTAACAGAGGAAGGACAGATTGATATTTCCAGCCAGCTAGAATTTATTAGACGAGTCATAGTAGCAAGAAAATCTACGTTCGCTAGAACTGATTACAAATAGATAATTTCTGTCACCTTTGTAACTTAGAAAAACATGACAATGAATGTTGGAAGACTTTCTTAGTTTCCGCTGCTATATGAAAAATGAACTTAACCCCTTTTCTATGTACATTGTTCACGTGAAAGATCTGCGTTTATGTAGATCTACTATTCGGAGTTGTCTAGGGCGATGACGGTAAAATAGGTGAGAAAAAAGCTATTTGGACGGACAAAGATGCGTCAAATAACGAGAAGATGCCCTGTGCTTCACCCATGTCGCTTGCACTGTAGTGTATAACCTCACGGTATTCCTCGAAATTGGAAGCGTGCTGATAGTCAACAATAGTATCGAGCTGCCAAAGAAACTGCAACATAATTATAAGGCGCAAACATTACTTGCGGTGAACCTCTACAGTAATTTCGATTAGCAATAAAATTTAAACAACGTTTAATAATACATCTGTTTTCAAGAGTTTGCCCTCCGATGAACATAAACGCAAGCAATATTTTTTAATCGCTTTTTATCAATGCCTACGCGTTGTATGAGATTTTACTTAGACGGATTCAGTACTCGATAAACAAATATAAATTACATTAAAATTGCAATATTTATACATTTGTGCATCCAATGTAACGCTTTAATTTAGTCAACTATTTATTTTGTAAGTGTTGTCCTATTGGGAACGCCGTAGGGACTACAACAGTAGTTTGCGATAGTTTATGTCGTCCTTTTCTCAATCGCTTCGAAAGATACAGCAACCATTGTCTGGCGGAGCTAATCCCCTAACTACACGTTCCTGTTCTTTCTCAATACTTCGCTAAAGCAGAGTGTTTCTAGTCTTTATGCTGAAGCCGTTAGGCATTGCTCCATATTGCATATAGGTAAGGTACTATTCGACAATAGTGTCTACAGGCATCAGAAAAAAAAGTGATACAAACCTTATATTTGCCTCCGTTTGACAGCTCCTCGTTGAATACTTACACTGGTCAATGTTGGCCCATTTTCACTTATCGATCCATTGATAAGCTGCTTTCCGCCGACATAAGTCGCGGTCGTTTACACATATTTCGACAATCAGGAAAAAGTCTTAGTGGACAATAATATTAATACCGCCATAGAGAACATATGGAAACTTGTTTCATAGTGATAGGCTACGTGCTCTAGCTTTAGTATACAGAATGAAGCTCAGCGTACGCATCTGCATAAACCTTTAATAACAGCAAATGATGCAACTGACCGTCCTCGTGACGTTGTAGGAGTATTATTTGTAGGGTAGTTGAGTTCGTCCATAATGCGATGTGCCGACGGAACCCCCACCCCACCCCACCCACGGATCAACTTCTTCGTGCCCTTCTGCAAACGCCTGATCAGATAAATGAGACAACAAAATAAGGCTACAGGGTATTCGAAAATTCAAGCGGTATTCTGACTTGCGACACGATTGCGTGACTCGTTGAATACTCTATACGTAGATAAAATAAACTCGGCACCTTTTAAGTAAAGTTGTATCAAGACGGACAGCGAGACGTATTCGTTCTGTGCCACAATTTCCGTGATGTTTTGCTTTTCGGTATTTGCCTAAAGCGAGTAACCTTCGGCCGAGATCAGAGCGACTACGGCGTAAAAACTCCCATCGGTCCAAGCCTAGTTCAGATCGAAAATGCTATACCTACTGAATCTCTTGTGACTCAGATTAAAAAGACAATTATACAGGTAAACAAAAATTACTATTCCGTTACACGTTTTTAGTGAAGTATCGTGTATAATTAAGCTAAACAACTAAAACACACAGCTGCCGCACAAGGTTAACCTGAAATGTGTCGTCTGTTACTCGTGAGAGAAACCAATTTGTTGAATGTAGTTCATCATCATGACAGAGGCCTGGCCAAGTATCGCCAATGGCAGCACCACTTAACCTTATCTTCGAAATTTAAGTGAATTGTGCACTCCGTAGCCGTAAATAAAATACTTTTGAGTCACCCTATTTCTAATAGATAACAACACCTACCCATATGTATATAAGGGCAAAATTTATAGTCTACTTGATGATCGTTAATGCAACTGTATTGCGACATCAGTGAAAAATAGCCGCTAGTAAGGTATTGCACAACAGACCTGTATAGATTTGGCCTATTCGTATCGTGGCAATCAGTTTTCGCATACTCGCTGAACAGAGTGAAAAATTGTTATGTTGCTTCCAATAGGCCACTTTAACGTTGCTAAGTTAGTCAAGGTAACTTCAGTTTTCCAGTAAACGACACCATCCCAAGAAACAAGTCTAGTACAAGCACCGGCAACGATAGCGTGTCATCATCATCATCATCATCATCATCATCATCATCGGCATATAATTTTTTTGCGGCAATCACCCATATCGCACCCTTTTTGTATCGCACACTTTATCTGCGTAAATATTTTTACTAATTTCCACAATGAAGGAGACAGAGCGCGGTCACTAGGCCTCTTTTGTGCCTGTTACAGCAACAACTGAGCATCTGAACCGTGATGATGGCAGAGTCCTAGAGCCTTATATATATATGTAGCACAAAATGACGACCTTGACCAAGTATTACAATGTAACTGTTCGTATCTTTCGAATTGAATGAGCAGGTTGATTTTCGGAAACAGAGTTCTAAATAGGGAAGTGTGCCCATTTCGAATTTCCGAAAAAAATTTATTTATATTAGGAGACAAATTAAGTTAATGTATTTTAGAAGAGAAGCTATTGTATTATTTTTTAGAGCAAGGTTTGACGTTCACGGTGACATCTGTCCGAAGAACCTTTGCCCTGAGATTAAAATGGTATTTGGGTGACATATACTTCCGCCACACGATAATGATACTCTTACTGACCTATATCACACCTCCACATATTCATCAATTTTCACGTAATCCCTATATGGTTTAATCTGTGTTTTATACCAAACAGATCAAGGTTTCAAATGTGGATTTAGTAATAAAAATTGATAACTGGCTTTTTATATGCCCGGTTCACTTTGTCCGAAAAGGCTGTGTACGTTTTTAAGTCTTCACAGCTTTTCCTTTGATCTTAGTTATTAAACAGACACTGGTGGGAACCCATCGAGTATGCAATGCCAGCTCGAAGTTGGCCTATACCAAATGCCGATTGTACAAAAGCAGTAAACTGGGTATAGCCAAATGACAATAAAATATATGCTCGACTATCGTATCCCGATTAAACATATACGATTATTAAACAAAGTAGAATGGACATAATTTATAGACACCATTCTTGAAGTCGTGTAATTTATATAGTATGATCAAATCTACGTGTTTATTTCTCGAGGGTCAGTTGCAAAACAATTAACGCTTCGTTATTGAGTACCGAAATATTTAAAGAAGAGGGACCCCTGTCATATTCTACTCGAGACGGGGCTAACGATGACGCGCTTGGAGGACAGAGAGTTCTATGCTGTTAGAGTTAGAAAGTCGGTTGACCTGGAAAACAGAGGAGACGTAGCAGCTTTGAAGTCCGTAATGAGTCTCTTCAAATTGAGGCACATTGTAATTTCAATGAACGAAGAAAAGACTAAATTATTTCTATTTAGCTATCTTGTCGACACTTTGCGATATTTTTTAGATACACGATATTTTTGAGAGAGTCCTTCCTTTATGTAAAGGAAAAAAACTACCAAGTTCTTACTCTTGTCGTAAAGAAAACAGAAAGACACTGTTATAGGCAGATCGTTGTAACAAACAAAATAAGGCAGGCACATAATGGAACAACATATCTACATAAAAATAGATCTGAGTACTTAGCAAAAATGTTAACAATACATTTAAAGTTTTCGTGATAACTAAGAAGAAGACTAAAATTACAGTATACGCGCTAAACGGTGCCAGTGTATCATCAATATCTTATAAAAATGCCGAACAGACATCAAGCTTGGATAGTAGAAAAGAATCGGAATGTAATAATAGCATAGATCAAGAGCGGACCCTTATTGACGAGAATATTAATATATATATTAGCACGGAAAGCTTTTTTCAAAATTAAACCAACTTTAAAATTAAACAAGAATTGTTACAAGTCAAAGTAAAAATATATCAAGAAAGCCAATAGAACTTAAGGAAAGATATATGATGATGCGCGAACTGGTGCCTCGAGCGAGAATACGAGAGTATCTCCTTGTAGCAGAGTATGCTATTTAGCTTAACATCCAGTGAAGACATTGGTTAAAAATTTCTACTAGTATCAGTAAAAAATTGAATTTGAATTGATTTTTTAACATCAAAATGGCTGAGTACAACGAGTATCATTGCAAAGCTAACGACTATATTCACTCTGTTAAAGCCTTATGGGGCGGACGAAATGCTTAGATAGGCTTCACTTACAAAAACTATAATGGATGATTTTTTCCACACAGACATGCGACTCGGCCTATTTAATGAATAGTCGTTTCGTAGTCAAATTATTTGCTGATATTATTACAAAGCATACTAAAGGTAGGGACCACTTTTTCCAAGAAGAAAACAAAGAGGCCAGACGGTTTAAAAGCTATTGTAAAACACAGCAAAATACATTTATTTTCACCACTTTCCTTTACAAGACGCTCGTAGAAAATCAATTTGGCCTTCCATGAGCGTGACTTTGTATTTTCACAGAAATCACTTTTTTCTCATTATCACTCTAGATTATGTGATATTACTATTTATAACACTTTACCCCGTTAGCAATGCTTACTTGACGTGTACTGCAAACATTTAGCGTAAAATAGCTAAAGGATTAATTGCACTCATGAGCTTCCAGTTGATCACCGCTGTAGGTCTTCCTTAATCCAGCGCAACTGCTGCTCATTATCTAGTCAACTTCGTGTGTGCCTAGTGCAGCTGTGACGACGCAGGTGTGCAAGGCCATCGCCTTCCATCAGACGGCTGACTCCCAGCACGAAACGAAATTTGTCTGTCGATGCCCAGGTTCGAACCTAAACCACAACGTCTCCCTAGGAATAGCGGCAAATACATTACCCAGCAAGCTATCCACCGTCGTTGAACCTTCCTGCGGCAAATTTATGATAGCGTTTGCAGGGGATACACCGAAACAATGACTGAGCATTTAGGGCTACTATAGAGAATTTGATGAGTTAGATAATTAACTAATGTACGAGCAGATTCCTTATTCTTCTAATCGAGTTGCCTTGTGAAGGTTAGGCGACAACTAAAACGAAAAAAGTTTTACGTAAGACTCAATAAAAAACAAACTATACTAGATCTATATTTTGTCGGATGACGCTAAGCTGCTTCATCTATATTCAGCTTACCCAGTAAGCCACTCCCATATCTGCGGCTGGCTTTGTCAGGGAACCCTTAAGGCTTCGGCGACATAGCATAAACGTGACACTCAATTAAACAATTTAATTCGCTGGAACACTGCCTGATACAAAGAGTAAAATATTACAAGAAAACTAATGTACCTAGAGAGGACCGAGCCACGATAGTCTGGTTAAAGCATAGATATCAGGAAAAAGATCACTGGTCATTTGTTGCGCAATTTAGGTTAAAAGAAAAATCATCTTGTGTGCATCATGTGAAATAAGCTCACAACATGCTGGCAAGTACAAGACCTCAAGGCGCAAAACACAATTAAGCTTATTAAGTTAAAGAACAGAATAAACCGTTACGTCATGAGTTATCATTAATGGCTTCGAAGTTAGGAACATTGATCTAATAATCAAGCCCAAGTGGTAATTTCGTCAATGTTGCAAAAAAACTGCTGCCAGTCCGGACATCGACGATACTAAAATCCTTACGAATTGCTCGGGAATAGATAGCCTTTTAAGTATTAAGATTGGTATATCTAGTTTACTCAAGCTTATTTGCGAAGTCAGTGATATGAGTACTGATGATGGAATACTAAACTGTACAATAAAATGAAATCCTAACACCTATTCCAGATCCTGTACAAACTCCATCTTAATAAAGCTTTTTAGGAGAGGTGTGATAGCTCTTGTAGACAAAAGTTGCGATTTCGGTGATTACCGACCATTACCAGTGCCGACTGCTTTAGGCGGATCAATGCAGGAAGTCCTACATAATGAAGTAAGCAAAATGCGTAAGATGCAATGATAACGGTTAGATTTCTTAGGCAAGCCAGAGGAAAAGTAGCAGTAGTAATATTTTCAAGCCCCGAATTAACAAACTGTATTATTCTGGCCTAGACCATATAGACAGAAAATTTATTTACATACGAGTAATTACGACCTGTAGAAACAGCCTAAACTAAGTAGCTCGAGTGTTGCTTGTAGAACCGCCGGTAGACGTCCTTCCGTCACGTACCGTTTTTGGACCCAATGTGACGATGTTAATGCCACCGCAAGCAGCGATCGACTCAAATACAAGCCCGAAGCTTGCATGCTCAGTCTGTAATGCAAACAAATGCAAATGAAAAGTAGGGCGGTGGAATTCGGTATTGTATAGTGAAGAGTTAGAGAGAAGTTACCTCTGATTTAATTAAACTACCCATAAAGAGAAGCTTTTTAGCTTATAGGCTTGCAAATCTTGTACAAGTATTTCCTGAACTAATCTTACACACTAAAATATACCTAAGGTGGGAGAAAAGCTTCAGACTGTTGTTAATCAGTTTCGATGGCCTATTTATAGTTTACCTGCCCTTTAAGACCAAAGGTGACATAACCGGATGAAAAGCTGTTGCCATGTCCCCTCAAGACTATACAGCGTTACAAGTCTGAGTTTATTAATGTTTCATCTCCCAGATCATTGCCAAACAGACTCGTCTATCACATAAATGGTATCTTGCTAAATGAAAGGGGTTAGTTACATGATGTATTAGGATTAAATAAAAACAACTTTGCCCAATGGTATCCGACCCCTTTGATAAAACAATTGCTAAGACGCCATCAAGAAAAATAGTTTACATAACAACTATTTACACAATAATGTTCGAGACTATTCTATCATTTTGGCCAAAGTAAAAAAAGTTTTTCCTTTTGGATAAATAATTTGCCGAGCGGACTTATGCTGAAGCCTTGTAAAGAAATGTATATGCCACTTTTACGCACACTACGAACATCTTGTAAATAGCTTCTTAAACATCCGACGCTGCATAAATCGTATCCATTTACGCTCCTGCTTTCCTTCTTCAGCATATTGATTTAAAAATTCATACTTCGTAGGATGACGATGAATCGATGATTTTCTTCACGCCACACTCAAGGCAAAGCCGCCAGAGACCTTTGTGTCTGGCTTCGTTCAAATGTAGCAAGTTATCAAGACATCAGGCAGACAATCTCAATCGATAATCCTGAGTCTTAAATATATATATTCGTTTTTAATGCACCAGGACTTTTTCGTCTGTTCTTGACCTGCTTGGCCGAATTGGGCTATCGACTTGTCTTTCACAGGATTGCATAAGCAGCTTATGGCTGCTTTATTGCAGGCTCCTAATGCAAGGAAGACGCCCATATACAACATATTATATGTTCTATTTGTAAAGTGGTTTAATATATAAACATACGCATTTCTTGTACAAATGAGCTCCTCGAGGACCAAAATACCTTAGAGATTTTTTTTTACCAACAATTAGTTCATCTATGAGCTATGTGAAATCTCACACGTTAGACTTCGAGTGAATATTTTGTGTTTGCCTAAATATCAAGTCTGTGACACGAAAGTCGTGCAGTTTATATCGTAGCTTTTTCACATCTGCCTTTAGCTCGGAGTTTTCGTCCGTCATTTTCGTGACTGAGATGGCAATACTGCATCATGAGCCGTAAGCGGCATCAAGTGCTACGTTTGATGCAACCAGCAGGTACGGAACGTGCTTCTCATCACGTATTAACAAGGCATGCCAAACTAAAATGATTGGGTATAGTTTAATACATAACATAATAGTTGCCGCTATGACGACCAGGTCCGACAGACTTCGATATACTGTTTTAGTCTTTACAAAGTTTTCTTAAAAGTGTATATTTGGCATACAACATCGAGAATCTTTGCTGATACTTCTCTATCGGCTAAAGGATAGGTAGCGAAAACGTTCCCTGCTTCAGCCGACAATGTTGAAGTTTGCTAGTAATCATTTGTATGTGTATGCGTTTTGCATTCGAACACAATCTAAATATCACATATATCATACGTAGATTTGAGGTAATGCCAGCGTAGTCGTACGTAGATGGAGTGTGCTTTCCCAGGATTTCCCCAAACCATGAAGCAACTGCCACCACTTGCAGAAGTCGTCGCACACCACCTCCAGCAATGAGATTTTTCAAGCCAATCGGCTCCTCCAATTGCGCAACAAGCTGCCCAGTAAACTTGTGCTTCTCTTGACGCATTAAGTTCTCATTCATTTTTCCCACTCAGATTGTCTCTTCCTTCGACTCTGCAAAAAGCATACGATAATTTGTTATTACAAACACTTGCTGAAGTATCGATTTCAGCTAGCTGTTTCTATTAATACGTATTGATTATCAGTCTTATTGTTACTATTTTTTTACACTTCTATAACAGTTGTAGAGTTTAGCAAGCTCGTGATTTTAATAAAGATATAATTACTAAAGATCGAAATTAAGTATCTTTGTGCGTTGCTTGCGTAAGTATCTATTCGAATTCACTTCATGCCCCCTTTATAGAAAAAAAATGGCAAATTTCTTATCTGGGTTAATTGATCTTCACAGCAATCGTTAAATAGGCAATATTCAGGCATGGTGATTATAGCAGTCATCAACGAAGACCTGCGCAACGCATAAGGGACTGTCGCGCGTTCGATTCATAAATGAAAATTTATTTGAATTACTAACATAATCTCGTCGTACAATTACGCTGGACCAGTGTAAATGGCAGTACAATATGCCTATTTATCAGCATCCGGGGAAAATCAAGACTTATTTTGCATTCCCTTCAGCCAGCCAGAGCTGCAGAAGGGAATAAAGAGCAAGACTGATGATAACAAGGTGAAAATAGGGTGCATATAGAGAAGGGCGGAAGAAAGGGGGCCCTTTCGGTGAAAATTGCTCTTGTACAAAGTCTCATTTAAGGCGAGTATAATGAAAACGTATCACGCATATATATTTTAACACCCCCCAAAAAAAACAACAACTTTACAAACTTCCCATTGAAAACCATTGTATCCTACATATATGCTATTTCAAGAAAGCAAAACCAAAACTTAACGCATCCTCTTAATTGTATAATAGATAATTACAGACAGGTTAGTTCTAGTTACTAAGATGGCTGTGTACATAATCAAACATACAATTGCCCTAGGTTCATCTAGTCTAAGTCATAGGCTGCACTCAGCTTTCGATAGGAGTTGATAATTCGCTACTGTGCTGTGCGATACAAAAAAATCAACTAACTTTTTTTGTATCTTTTGCGGCGCTAACATACAGAAGAAAAAGTGGCAAGAAACAAAACAGGCAACCCTTTTTCGAGCGTAAATACATTTTCGTAATTTGTAATAGAGTAATCGTATGAAAAAGCCTAGCTCCCTTGCTTTCTGAATTCATATCAGATTTATCTGAAGAAGTTACAACGTGGACATCCATTCTTACACCTCAGTGTGATACATGTCACTATTTTCGTACAATTTGAAAAGTACATCTTTTTGATACGTGAGCAGCAGACGCTACATAGTTTACACATGCTTTACATAAAACGCTTCCGATGAATACCCAAAGCCAGAGGTGACTAGTCCTACTGAATCGGAGTGGAATTCGCAGGCGCGGAATGTAGCGGCTAACCCAGTATAGTGCTTTTCTATCATTTTTAGCCCAGTTTAGATACGCCACTTCCACTAAAAAGTGTAAAGACAAAAATATGTCGTCCAACTGATCCAAGCTCAGCTCGTATTTAAGCGTATTTTTGGTAAGCGAAGAACTACATAGCTTATGTATATATTTGTTTAGTTAAAAGTATAGATAGGTACCTCTTTCATTTTAAAAGGATAGAGGGAATCTGCCATCGCGGCGCACGATTTCCTGAATGATTTCTTCGTTAAGGGCGATGTCTATACAGAGTTAATCCAGAATTACTTCACCTGCTACTTCATTTCAAAAGAAAGCTTTACTTCACCTGTATACCTGACATCATCTGCAGGATTGCCACTACGGTAGAACCGACAATCTGAAATCATTTTAGATTTATTCATTCAATTTTCATTTTTGTCGGTTGACGTTTACCAACATCGGAGAAGCGAGTGGAGCTATCTGGGTTGTTAATACTCTCGAAGTCCGTCACCCTGATAACCAGGAGCATCGGCCACCATTGGTTCAAATTCCAGGGTCGGCAAATAGTTGCCACGGGATACTGTTATCGTACTGCCCCATAAATGGCATGGAAAAACTACCAAGTTACGAGCCCATAATCGCTGATAAGAGACATGGCATATGGCTAACGCGTACACCTACTAACGTATATCTGCCTTTTGTGGGTTTCGACGAGGGACTGAAAAAGTTCAGTTATGCCTTGGGTACTCTTCAAATATCCTCTGTAGTAACAGACACCACACAGTTCGTATCCGGGCTGATCCAACATATAGGTTACATAGGCTACGAGCCAGCCACAAGTTCAAGAAAGGCAAATTCAATGAATGGCAGTCCATAATTTGTATTAATAAAAGAAAACAATATTGTGTTCGCTCGTAGGCGACGCTTGGAACTAATGCGAGTTAAGCAAAAATGATTTGTTAGTATCAAAGTTTCGATGAGTTTAACACAGTGTATATAACTAATGATGAGCCGTTTGGGTTAGTAACTGAATAAGGTATCTCGATTGTTTTTAATCAGGAAAAAAATCGGTTAAGCCAAAATTACGTAATCGTGGAAATTCTGCTATTACATCTAACATACTTATCATATCTGATGAGCTTTGACAAGAATGAATGTTCTCGTTCGAAATATCTTACAGAATTAAATAAATAAAAAAAGCTACCTTTTGTAGATCCCCACCATTTTACGTCATGTTCGCGCCTGATCTAGGTGGCAACATGTACACGAAATTCTCAAAGCAATTCTTTCACTTTTACTTTTACTACAGTGGTGACACACTACGAAAAAGATCTATCTTCAATGACCTGACTGAAACCGATAAATTCAAAATCCTATTTAAGGTCTTTGTTGAGACGACACTGATTTTCAGTTTTTTGTATCAATTTCGAAAACTTGCTTGCGTAAAATAATACCTGCTTTGTTATAATATGCTTGATGGGATAGCGTATCCAATAATTCTCGGAAGAACAGGGTCTCTTTAAGTTCAAAGGGCACATGCGAGCCGTCTCGTACGCTCAAATTTCTTGAAACGTTAACAAATTAAGTATTTATAGTAAATAAGTAAGTAAACAATTAAGTATTTGCTAATTTTATCGTTCTTATATCGTGTCCATCAACGTCATATCTCGACGACCTCAAATACACGCCGTTCACTAGACTAATTATAGAATTGGTAGACAAGCTTCCTATTTCTAAATAATGCCATATTACATATGTTTACATATGTGAAAAACAAGCGACAATTTTAAGGAGAACGATTCAAAGACATAAACGTTTTTATTTACTTCTACATTATTTCATAGATATTCACTATGCACTAAACTGAATTTATATTTTACACATTCATAAAAATTACAAATTAAAAAAACTAGCCAGTAATTCAGGTGCGGACATCGCATCGAAGACAGTGTATTCCAGTTCTCGACTGATTGCGGTTTCGCCAACCAACCTTCCCGTTTTTCGCCATTCCTAATTTAGCAAAGGTCGCGATTTACATGAAAGGGAGCAAAAAAAAAATAAACAAAAACACTACTACATGTATCAGAGGCATCAATATCAAAACGTAACTTGCAGAAATAGAACGCAAAGGGCACGAATAGGACAAGCTATTCCAGCACACTAAGAGAAACCTCTATTGATGGTCATCACAGAGGTTTGAATGTCTAGATTCACTGCCATGTAGCATTTGTGGAGATGAAGGTTGGTTAAGTTAATTCCAACATAAATTAATTGACTTGTCATACTAACGACATGTTAAACATGGTAAATACAATAAACGGAGCACACTTACTATTTTTAGCTTTCGACGCCGAGCAAAGACTATTTTCCAGAAATAGGAGAATGAGACGTGCCAGGGCGTCTTGCGGTGGAGCAATCTGTTGTCGACAACGGTCTCACATCATCGTATGTATAAGGATCAACTGCTGCTCGACTAGATTTTATGGTTCTCCGCAAGTGTCGTACACTACGCTGCTCGAATAAACCAACAATTTTTGAATGTCATAATTGTCCAAAGTACGTTAGCGACCCATAAAAACTAATTATCTTTACCCTGACTACACTGAAGCTTTTGCGTAGTTGATAAAACTTCCGAGACAAGGCACTGGGCTATACTATAATCGTTTTGCTTTTCGTAGGGGTTTGCTGTTCAAACATAAATCAACTGTTTATTTACACAAAAATTTAAGACCGAAAGACGAAATAGTAGCACAGTATTTTACGTGTAGCATTGACACATTTATCCATTATTTTGTACCTGCTTTAGTTTTAAAAGTTCTAGTTTTTGTGCAATATGTCGTTCCAAGACGCCAATCCTGCGGTACAGTTCATCAGCCTTGGCGGCGACATTTTCGCAAAGGTCACAACTCTCAACGCCTTCGCTAACTTCTTTTTCTGCTGTTTCCGTGACAACAGGAAAACGTTCAAGAACGCAAGACGCGTTCGAGTCTGACACTTCCGCTTTTCCGGCTTTGCTCACTTTTTCGCAACTAAAGACAATAAACAGGATTTGATTGCGACAAATCGTTTCTCGTACGTCGTTTATTACAACTTTATTGCGCATCTACAATTTCAACTGCCTCAAGTATTAGATAAAGTTAATTGGTCAAGGGAATCATCAAGTAAGTTAAATAAGCACTTTTCCGAGGTTGAAGTCAACGTTTGGCTGATCGAGGAGAATCATAGGTTTTTAAACTCCAACAATACATACCTTTTTTTAAGAAATAGGTGATCACCATGAAGCACGAAAATTTTCTGCGGACTTTTTGTAAAAAGATCAATAATTTCCTTTTTCGACCATACGCCTTCGTTTAAGCTTTCTATCATCATGCGCACCTAAACCAATTAATACAAACGTTATCTACGAGAACAACTTAATACCTTAGCAAATAATAGCTCTTTATATAAATTTTATTGATTAACATAACATAACAGTGTATATATATACACGCAATATATGTTACACGCGAACTCGGCAGACTTCGAAATTGGATAACTTTCGAACTATACGCCGTTAGCTAACATGATTATAAATGGAATAAATAAGTACTCCAGTTTCAACCTGTGAGTAAGAATCGGTTGAAATTATTGCAGAAAAAAAATAATTTTTCCCAAATTAACATTCGGTGTGCTTGTTCATCAAAGATCACAATGCTGTTGAAATTCCTCAAAAAGCAATGAAGACAATAGGCATGAAAGTTTTAAACGAAAACACAGTATGCGAATGGTACAAACGTTTCAAGGGTGGGAATTATAATGTCGAATACCAGCGAGGTCATGATCACATGTTGGAATTCAAAAGGCAAAAACAACAGAGAAGACTTTTCACGGAAGCATAACTTAAGTATGAGGGCTCCATCAACCAAAATTAACATTTTGGATGTAACGCGTTACAAAATAACAAACGTATAAAATAACAGTACTGAATAAAAATGGGTTTAGTATTGGTTAAAGTTAGCTTAAAATCATACCTCTTTGATGCTAACACTGTTGGAGGCGGATAGAGAAATCGACTCCTGCATCATTGAGCATAATTTAGCAGGATTGCCGAGCATTTTGTAACTGTAATTTACCCACGTGCATATGACATAGATAAATGAAATGATACGAATTTAAAAATTCATCGTAGCCTAAGCTGGTTTTCTTCAGTGAGAACAGATTATTAATAACAACAGACTTCGCAGACAACACTAACAATTTGCATTGATAAAACAAAGTACTACAATTTGAACAAATATACAAATGTACGGAATAAATGTATACAGGTAAACAACGTTTACATCTAACTCTTGGATCCCGCCGAATGCCGAATCTGTGGATCCTAAACCGAAACAACGGTGCCTTAATTGTTTATATCGTGGCTATACAAATGAGCCCCTTTGGCATTCAGATTCAATGATCTAGCTTATTTTGCAATGAATCGAATTTGTGTGCAATATGACAAAAACTGAAAGTACTTCGAAATATATTGTAATAATAAATATAGCTGGACCTTAATAAATAAAATTTTATTGAGTATCAATTGTGCTCTAGTCGATAGTATATTTTTTTGAGTGCAATATGAGGTCAAGGTCTACGACTCAGAGGCTAAGTCCACTGTGTTTACGGTATTAATAAGGCCTAAATAAAATTTAAAACAATATAAATACAAGAGAGCAATTATGTACGGACATTGCGTTAGTATTAATGTATCTAATAGAACTGAATTTACGTTTTGAGTTTTACACCCTAAACTGTTACACATTGCATTAAGGATGGCTGACTTTCGATATTTCACGCTGTTCTATCGGACTGCTTTAAAAATCAGTCGTTACTAAGAGGAATGATAGTATCTGTTATCTTCTAATTTACAATTGTACTAACACTGATATTATTGTAGTCTTCAAGTCAACACGTTCTGTACCCAGTAATGTATGCGTGTTTCTTGTTAATTCTGGTCTTGTCAATTTTTTCGTTATAGTGCATTTTCCAGTGTTTTTATGGTGGTTTACCCTTATTGGGTTTTTATGGTGGAAGTTGGTCAGCATGCCATTCTAGAGAGGCCTCTATGAATAGATGCACGTTGTTACTTACAGCTGAGATTAACTGAGTTACTGATCACGTTTATTGTCTGAAAGTTACTTTTATTTATCTTAAAGCTGTAGTGGTTTCATCACGAGTACTAACCTGCTCTTTTCTGCCATCGTTCGAGCACAATCTGCAAAAAAATCAAAGATTCCCCGATATATTGCTCTCCACCTGGATCAAGAAAGAACATCAACTGATAACTTTCCAAACTGCCCTTTCTATAGTACAGTTTGTTTCTAGCCCTAAGAAATTGTAACAAAAATGCTTTGAAGCGTAGTACAGAAAATGTCGCTAACGGTCATAATACCACGTCGACTTTCTTTTTAACACAAAAATATAGTCAGCATGGTTGCATTCGCCTTAATGATCATGCCAGCTATTTCGAATTTTCTACTCACGAAATATTGTTTAGACTATCCTTACTTTAGGAATTTTATTTTTGAAGAAAACGAAAAGGTAAATGTTGTGTTCACAAGGTGATTTCTAGAGTTAAGATTCACTGCTATAACTAAAACGCCCAGCAGCGATACGATCTACACACACAATACCCTCACACAATACAGTCTCCTTTCGCACTTCTAAGATTAGATAGAGAATTTGTTTTAGTTGTTCTTTTGTATTTTACTCGGATTGTAACTGTTTCCGTTTGATCGCCACTTCTTTTGAATTCTTCTACGGTTTATCTTCTCTTGCCACCCGGTCCAAATTAGCAAATAAATCATTTTGCCTTAAAAGCTCTATTTCAAACGAACGAAGTGACAAGCACAAACCTCCTACAAAACATTAAATGCAGACACACGATAAACAAACTTCCGTTGAATTACGCTCATTCCCTCAGATTTTTCTGTCTAGTGCCGGGCGTTTGACTGTTGTAGAAAGGGGAACTCGTACAACAAATGGGAAAGCATATTAGCGGCAAGGGTAGATGACCGGTAATATTTAATTCGTTTCACTGGGCAATTCAGGCTGACGAAAAATAGATTCGTCCGTTCTAGATTGCGAGCGAAGTGTATATATATATATATATATACTTTTTTGCTATAAGTGTAGGCAAGAGTTCATACCTAAGTCTAACAATATTTTCGATTTGATGTTTCCTATATTCCTGGAAAATAGGTAATTATATTTAACACATTATTAATATAAGGCCATAATTCAAAGCTTGGAACCAAAGGAGTTCTGATTCGAACCTGTCATACGAGTATACACATCTTAGCCTAGTATAGGAGGTTATGCCAATAATGATAATAAGTACTTTCGTTGCATATCTATTTAAAATAGAAGGACGACGCCACAGAATATGTAGGAACACCTGTTTGAGTCCTTTATTCATCTGCGACAGCTAAGCTATACCAATTCATATATGTAACAAAATTAACCTCCCTTGCAGTAAACTCGTGCTTGCGAGAGATGATTATACGTCAGCTTGTGAAAGGCTAACTGGTTCATGAATAACGGAACCATAGATAGTCTTCGCCTCTCTGATGATTCACCAGTGCATTTTTCCCTTTACTGTATGGAATTTTTTTTTTTATAGATATATGGCTCGATCTAAGACTGGAGTATATACAACGTGCAGCACTTAAATCACTGCAAAAAATTTTGCCTCCGGGAAACGATACTGGTTCATTATTATTACGCCGCTTTTAAGCTTTGTCAAATGGTTGGAACCACGCCGCCTTGACGTGGATCCCACGAATGACCAAAGTCGTCAGGCTCGTTGTAGATATTATCCTGTATCCAAAGGCGGTCCGAGGACGAGTATCTGAAAGGTATTTTGTTTGTGAAAAATAGAACACTTATCTAGAATAATCAAACGTACAAGCTCCGATTAACCATTATAGTACAATTACATACACACATAGTAGTTATACACATACTATACAGTCTAGGCTAATGAAGAAAGTTATAATGATAATAATATTTGTTATTATTATTACAGCGGGTCGATTTTAGATAGCATCTCCACTTTTTCGTCGGAGGAAATTAATGGTATATAACTTGTTTTATGTCTAACGCTAAACTCTTCTTCGTATGTAATAGCCATAAACTTTATTTACTTCCGATTGGTTAACTGAATATAAATAAGAAGTACATGAGCTTTTAAAATCATTCTTACTCTTGTGGCGGCAAATCGAATGGTACAACAACCTGATCCGTGCTAATGGGCCTATTAGGCACATACAAAATACCGCACTCGTATGAAAGTGGCGCTTTCGTTTGCAGATTACCCCAAGCTGCTTTCGACAGATTGGCAGAGCTCATCAAAAACCAGAACGTTCGCTGATAATCCGGCGATGTTCGTATATAAAACTTAACATGAGGCGCCGCTCTGGACCTGCCCACTTGATCCGCTTTCCATCGATGAAGCCATTTGGACAGCCATCGTTGTTTCATATGAACCTATGCGAGCGAAACATTGAGGCTTGAACAATAAATGCTAATAGAGTCGAAATAAGGTCACTGTGCCTTTCGCTCTCTTTTCTCTCTCTCCCTCTCTCTCTCGACAGAGAGAGAGGGGGAGATAGAGAAAGAGAGAGAGAAATTACACATACACTAGAGTTGTCCCTATTTGTTCAAATTTGAGAGCAAACGCTATTTTAGAATGACATGTGGAAAGATGAAGATATCAAAATGAAAGTCACTTCAGACTAAAGAATTTGTAGAGGTCGTTCTCAACGCAGTTTTTAATTCCTACCTTTCCGGAGTAAGGTAAACTCCGTCCTGCCTCATAGCCTTCGAAGCTCTTACGGACTTCTTCGATAGTCGGATACAACGCCTATAGCCAGGAGAATACTTAGCGTGTGTTATCTTCAGCTCAAAAGAGGACAATATATTTTATGGCAAAACGTTCATACCTAGATATATCGGCTAACCGCTCCAGAAAAATGAATATTAGCTATGATAATACGTGGCGGTCAAACGTAAAAATATACAATATGTCAAATATTATTTTATGAAATACAAATCCTCTAAAGATATGAAATACAATCCTCCCCCAGGCCTAAAAAAGCGAACGTCACTTGCCAAGCTGTTATTGTGTAACAAATAAAGGAAATTATTTAATTTTAACGTCGTTTAGAGTGCGTATATATATACATATATGTATATAGTAAAGCTTTAGGTTGAATTAAACTTGCTTGTATGTTGTTCACGGTAACATCAGTGATATTTGTGCCTTTCTGAGTAGTTCGGTTGTTAGCCAAGAGTGCACGACCGAAGGTTGGTCTCAGCCAAGCTGGGTAGACGTCAAGGATCAACATTCAGGAAACACAGTCAGACAATAAGACGATATAGCAATCGAATCCTTAATAAAAAGTTCGTTCTACGGTTGGATATACAGTTCGAGTCAGACATTTTCACATGCCTCAGCTCTGGCTCTACTCATCGTTATATTATAATTGTGCATTAGTCGAAGAGCGATTTTACATACAGAGCGATAATAAGAAGCACATTGAGAAAAGGAACAGCTAAAAAGGCGTCGTGAAATTCATCTAGCGCTGGCTACACAAATAAAATGAGGTGCACACAAAATAAATGCAGACAGCCCATATTTTGAAACGGCCTGTGCGCTTACCGGTGTCGTCTTGTCCAAGGGTACCGATACTGGAAAAACAGAACGTGACAGGATTCTCCTTGGAGAGCGGAGGAACATTCTTAGTTAGAATAGAATCCACTGTCACTAGCCCGCTCTTGATCGAATTTGGTGTAGATCCTAAAATAAGGCAGGTTTTGTAGCATCATTCACGGTTTTCACTAGAGATTACTACTGAATAATTTGATACAGCTTTAAAAAGAGTATTTGCATCAAGTAAGTCATATTAATGCATTGTGTATAAAATATATGTGTCGCAGATATGATTATTCATTTCGATTTTTCTAAAAATAGAAACTACGGCGTAGATAAAATAGGTTATACCGATGAAGTAGCAGTTATCGATAAGCGAAAAATCATAGTCAGCATAACTTTCTGCTAGTTCAAGCAACTTTTTCTTCTGGTATGAACGCAGATATGTGCATAATGCCGATCGAAATCCTGGAATACACATTGACACTCCGGTAAATGTGTGTTAAGACGTTTTACCAATGTACTGAAGCATAGTACGATATCTGGTGACCTGTAGACTTGCGATACTATTTAGTTTCAATGACGACTGAACAAAGGAGAAAGCAGTGTCTCTAGCTTGCAGAATAAAACTATATATATATACATATATATCGCAAAAAATGTTTATGAAATTCAATAAGTTAAAGCATCCGATTCAACTAGTAGATATATTAGTGTACAAGTAATCGCTGCAGCCTTATAACCGTAACTAGTCAAATTTATTTATTGTTTTTATTTTACTCCCATTTCTTTCACACGATTGTAGGTTGACGCTTTTCATTCTAGTTCTTTGTGGGCCAACAGCTGACTTGGAAATTTTCTTTTTGCCATACCAACCTGTGTCTGAATCCTGTCCTTTCTTGGGCTGGGAAGATTTTTTCAGGAGCGGACTGACCCACAACATTTGGCTTTTTTTACCCCAGTCGGGCCCGTAGAGATTAGCTGTAGTTACGATGAGCCGCAGGTGACCTTTATACTTCAGCGAAATCATTTTGCTGTGGTGAGTGCCAAAGCGCGATAGTTCAATAGGCAGTAAAGCCACGTTCCGAAATACCTACAAACCGAGATTACACAACGGAGAAAAGAAATCACTACAAAAAATTAGCATTAAAAACGAGTATTGTCGGAAAGGAGCAGACAATATGAGCACAAAAACGATCGACGTGCAACCCCCCATCAAAAACGATGTCTCCGGACAAAACGGGTACCATGCGCATAATCATCTAGAAACTGAATAATTTTCTGCGTTATGCTCTAATCTAAACAAAGTCATTCAAATATTACGTCCGGGATACCACTGGACGTAGACCAAAAAGGATTGAATATTTTCTTTTTTCGTTATCAACTATTTCACTCATTGTTATATTGGTGCAACAAGTAAACAGAAGTATAACTATCAAACTTACAAAGAACGACGACAAGTAGTTTGGCAACAAAAGATTTTTGACAAAGCCACTTATTGACAAGATTTGCAAATATGACGACTCGTATTAATCGCTAGTATATAATCACATTTTTCTTCATTCTTCATAACTATATGCCTACAACAACAGTGGAAATAATAGTTTGGTTAAGGGCGTAATACCTGTCTCTGGGCTATTAAAAGCTTAAGAAGGTCGTCACTTTGTTGCACTACGAGTAGCATAGGGATTTGTCGGTACTCTGGCGGATACTGCTCCAACAGCCACTCCATATCGTAGACATAGCTAAGCATTGATACGAAATTGTACATCATAGTTAGTATCCATTGGATTGAATTAAACTATTAACCAACCATCTGCACATAAAAAGCCTGCTCACTGACCTTCGTGCCAAACGTGACCAGCTTTAACACTTCAACATTTATAAAAGCTGAGTCAAAATTTTTTTTTTTTTGAAACATCACATGTACACATAATAGCGACACAAGTATATGTACGATATACATACATAAAGTTACCTGAAGTGCACAGCTGACTCAAGTTGGTCGCTCACATCCTCATGAAGTATTTGCTTCAAAGATCGAGTAAAAGTATCCGAATTAAATTTGCTTTGAAGGCCTTCGCACTTCGTAAGATAGAAGCCACGTAGCCGCGAGTCATGTGAATTTTCCAGAAGATGTTCTGAGCTTGTGCGATAACACATAAATCCATACGGACATGGTTTTGTGCCTTTAAATAAAATGATTTTATTTCTCCTATAACATTTTCCTCAGTTGATTTTCATGTTTACCCACTTTAGAAGCTTTCTATCAATTGGTCTAGATAGACCGCTTAGGCTCCCCGAACAGAAATTTTGAGCTTTAAAGCGTATGCGCCACGAAGTAGAATGTTCGCATAACCTCTTAGGAACCATTTTTCTGCATCAAGATAAAATTTCTACGTAAGCAATAGTACAGTGAATACCTGAGCTCTCGAAATTATGATCAGAGCCAACTGCAGAATGCGATGCCGGTTCCCCTTTCGATGGGCAGTTCAAATGGTTTACCGAATACTCGGGTGGGAATTCCTGTAAGCGTCTTTGTATTTTTCTACATTTTTCTTCATTTTTCTCTAAGTCGTTCTCCTCCACGGACGTTTTCGTCAAACCCTGATCTTTCCTGGATGATTTTGTGAAGACGAAGCAATGGCTGGATCCTAAAGCTGGACCATTAACGGAAACTGGCCTATATGAGCAACATACAACTTCGGCTGTTTTGTTTGAGGACACAAAACTTGTGTTTAACTTTGACGATGAAGGAGCGGTAGATAACGGCTTCTGATGTGGGATCCGTTCAATTTGTGGCTTTTTCCTTGGAGAGGCAAAGGTGTCGGGTTTAAGCTTCACGGGCGAAATCTTTGAGACAGCTGAAGCAGACCGTTCGAGAATTGAGACAAAATATAAATAAGTAAAATTGATATGACCGTAACTCCTGCATTAATATTTTCTAGAACGAAAGCTAGGCTCTTTCCTAAGATTTTGTGATTTCTTATAGGTAATTATAGCTTCCCGTTATGTACAACAGGAGTTGCCGCAAAATCTTCCGTGTAATTAGCGTTTCCTGTAAAAAAGCATAAATTGTAGCGTCCGGAGAAAATTATACCAAACAATTTTTTACACTGGTTCGTGGTATTTTTTCGCATTATAATATAATTTTTGCGCGTCAAATGCCGCTAGCCTCAAAGAACTTTGTGTCGGCCTTATTTTTTGCAAAACCAGAAAATTCTCCGTAGTAATATTCACCTCTGTACGTCAATTCCTTGGTAATGACCTTTTAGAATAACCTGTACGCATATAATGTGCGAAATATATAATGCGATTTCTATATAGTTTCTATATAGTTGTAGCAGCTGTCTGGTAAATGTTATATATCCTTAAGACAGGGCATATGTACATCTGTAAGGTCCATTTTAAACAGGTTCGCTGACGCAAGCCTGTCTATATAGGGTTATTTAAGAGAAATTTCACTTACGAGCGCTGTCATTTTTGGTAGAATCTTTTGTCGAATTTTTATCTGGTGACTCTGCTTGTCGGCTTTTTTTCGGCACATTAGATACGATTTCCACATCACTGTCATCACTATCTGAAATTTCGTGTACTTTTCTTGGACCCGCCATAATTTCCGTTAGTGCTCTATTTCGAGCCAATAGCAGCATTCACAGTAGTCACGTGGCTTCATCTAAGTAAAGGAGAATATCACTTTAGTAAGACGTTAATCGCGTGACATCCTGTTTTGTCAGTAAAATCATAAGTATGATGGATTTTCTCATTATCGTCTTTTTACGATCATTTAGCTGGCTTAAATAAATAAACCGGCTTGGAGTTCGAACATGGCTGAATTATTGATGTTTCTATATTTGTAGCAGACGATCTGTCGCGACGTGTGTTGACCGCGCAAATGTGACCGGTGTTACGACGAGCGGAGAGGTGACTGAACGAGCGGTGGACAAGAAACCCGAATAGATCTTTTTTATATTTTACATTAGTAGTTTCATAGGTAACGATTTTATCTACCATGATATTACTTTTTTTTTAGCTTGAGTCACAAATCTGTTTTACAGTGCTGGATTACTGAGACTACTTCTATTCAGGGTATCTCTTATTTCTGCTTATTGGTTGAGAACAGTTATTTTACCGTCGCCTCCTATACAAACTTTAAAATCAGCCATTAATGAAAATTAGCGAATCCTTGGTACAAAGAAGCTAAAACACAAACTAGTTAATTTGCAATGGTTTCAAATAATCAATTTCAGTTGAATCTGCGACGCCGCGAGAATAACAATTTCGATACACTTTAAAGCAATTTCACTTAGAAACAAAACACTATTTATTAGCCAGTTAATTATTGTTTCATAATAGGAGGTAATATGGGTGCCGTTCGCTACTTTAGTAACAAATTTCATAGCAAAGTAAAATCTCAAAAGACTTGATGAAAGCCGTTCGAAAAATATAATTTTGGACCTCATATAATTGTAAACAGGTACCACTTTACCTATTCTGGGGTTTAAGTTGACATTTACATACTTATTATATATATATATAAATCATCAAATTTTGAGCTTCAAGGTGTAATTTTCAATTCTGACGACAAGAACGATCTATTGGAGTATAAACAATCAACGACTAGCTTTTGTTCGGCAAGCTAAAGCTGAATAAGATCAGTCTCTAAGTTCTTTTATCGGATAGTCGAAAGATTGAGGTTACAACTAAATCAGGCAAGTAAATTGTTATGATGAAAAAGAAAATTGGCGAGGTTGGCAAGCGCTTTACTCAAGAGTTGCGCGTTTCCGGCTAAAAGAATGATTTATGATGAGTAGTTGCCAAGTAATTTCAAGGTTCGAAGTTCACAAGTATATGTTTACAGCGATCGAAACTATTTTTTGACTTCTTTCCTTTTGTTTCGCGGATCGCGTGTTTTTTCAAGTAGCTTCGTTTTGTTAGCGCGCTAATAAAAGAATGTCTGGTCTTGACGTTTTCAATGATGACGAAACTTTAGACTTAATTTTTCATAGAAAAGTGTTTCAAAAAGAGATTCTTTATTTCCAGGAATAATGAGTTAATGTACGCAGCACAGCTTTATTATTTTTAAAATGTTTTAAACCTTTCTCATCCTGTAAGTCCTGTGACAGTGACCACGGACGAGACCATCATTCCTTTTACGGTTTTTTCGACCGTCAGGGAATCGCACATTATACATTTGTAGACATCTAAGTCTTTATTAAAAAAAAACCTTCCGGACGTAACGTCCTACGACTCTTTCCTATTGCCAAAACTAAAAAAGTCTGGAAAAGTGTTTCGATGCGATAAGAAAAAATGATGGAAAAATCGCTAGCTGAGCTGAGGGCTATTCCAGAAATCTGGCGTCCTGGCCTGGGAAAAAAATGTGGTGTGAGTGTATTGCATTCGGCAGGAACTGCTTCAAAGAAAACAGCTCGAATGGGGACGATTCGCTGATTAGTCCGTAATCTGGAACAAACGATTAATTCGTTTTTGACAAAAATATTTTCCTCGGTGATTTAATCTTTCCTTGGATCAATGTACAGTATATAATACGAAATTTGACAAACACGGTTTTTAAAAGTGCTGTAATTGGTTTTTATTCTCTATAACTGTTGTATTTAGATTTAGACACTTCTTTGGGGTTATAAATAATAAACTTTATTACTTCAATAACATAGCCAAACACCGTAGCAAACATTGTCATTGAACATTTTTTATCCGTCTCATTTTTTACCCAAAAAGTTACTGCTGTGATACTATTGCTGTTGTATTGTTTTTTTTCCATACTCTTGCGCTCTTACGTAATCATAGTGGTACCAATATAGATTTCTTTCTCTGACAGTCGCCGTTGATTTTTTATGAGGGTATTCCTTGTTTTCATCCCAACCATCTACCATTATATATTAATTCATTTTTGTATGTATTTTTTTAGCTATATTTACTCTTCATATCCATTATCTCATTTCTCTTCAATCGTATTATAATAATGATTGAAGCTATTATCATTTTTCATTCATATAAATTGCTACAAACTGTCCCTTGCGTTGAAACTGCAATTTGAATTGCAATCCGTTTCCTTTACTGTATGACCCGCGATGATCGGTCTGTCGTACTTTGTCTCTCGGTGTAGTAACAATCCTCGTTAGCGTATAAATGTCTATCAATTTCGGATTATTGTGCTTGTCGAAGAACTATATTCGGCCATTATCACGGGTGCTTGTTTCTATTTTTGCGCACCACTACAACTGTCGTCTTCGTCTTTAGAACGTTTGCTGTGAGCTGTTGCGTGGATATTGATCAGCTTATATTTTTGTGTGTTCATGCCTGTGTCCTAAAAGCTTAACTTAGTGTTCCTACTCGGCTCTAATTTTTCAACAGTCAGACAGACAACGAACAAACCAAATCCAAGACGCTTCTGTTGGTCACGTCAACCCATCCCATTACTATACGTTTTACGACCTCTTTTTGCAGCTCGATTTAGCTGGATCAGTTAGACGTCAATAGCAAGCATTAAAAAGTGCATCCATTTCTGTAAAGCGACATCGGTCAAGCCGATTGACGTGGGTGTAATTCGCCCAAAGCTGTGTAAGATATGCTGCTAGCTAAAACGGCACCGCAGCCGGTGAAAGTCTGGATACATATGCATAACCTAGGTTTACCCCCTAGCTTGTATAGTCCGCTGACCTACAAAAATTCAGCGCCTAAGCTTAAAAGTATTCCTTTCACATGCATTAACGGATATACATAATATCGCATATTAATTTGAGGATTTTGTCATGATGGCATGGTAGTAATTATAATTGACGGAGCTACCGAAACGGTTGGGATGAATCAGAAGGACGTAACACCGCGATGACGATACGAAAACTAGAAACGAACGCTCTTTTAGGAGGTTCGTTAACTATTACAGCAAAAATATAAGGTAGGCCATACGAAATACACGAAAATCCTTAGACACACCAACTACCGGCACTACTCGGAGTAGTAAAAATCAAGTTAGAAATGTACTAAGAACAGATCAAAATGACTGAAAATGTGGCACTGAAACCGTTTATGAAAGATTACAATATATGACACAATAAATATACTTCTGTCATCAATATCTAACATTATATAAAACCATGGGATTGAAAATGTTCGCAGCCGGCAATCAGTCGGCCGCACAAGGCGTTCAATTACCAACCCTCTGTTTGGATTCAGGCAAGATCTCCAACTTTAACTAAAGTTATATATAGAAATTTGACCGAAAAGCTGACTGCAGTAATAATCGTTTCAGGATAAGATTAGAGCCGAAAAGGGCAAGACAGTAACAGATTTTAATGCTACGATTCAACTTATCTTGCTTTTTCCCTATCAAGTAACGTTCCATTGGATGCGACAGTTGGATCTTAATAGCAGTTGTGTCACCGACAATAGTTAATACTTACACGCAATAATAATAATAATCATAATACATGTTATATGTACGTAACTGTTTATGGATAAACGTTGTGTAGTTATATTCCTCTTTTGTTAACCACACGGGATTCTGACTAGAGTGGAAACGTTCTCGTACGTAATGACGCGTCGTCTTGCTACTTTTACAGCACAAATTTCCGTAGCAAAGATGATGTGGTGTCGATGGTTATATGGGCGCACGAATGATTTTTTTAATCATGTTTTTACATGACAGAAATATTCTACAGCCGAACTTTTTCGAGGTCTCGCCTCATTCACAGCGTCTAATGGATAATTAGTTTCCAATCGAACTGATGATTTAGCGATCCGCCGGGTTACAGCAAAAGGACAACAAGGGTCAACTTCTAAATCACAGTGCTTCAGTAAAGAAAAAGAAAAACTAGTAATAACTTTTATTATAGTATAAAAGAAGCCATCCGCACCGAGGTACTGGATACATGTAAATAAGTATGTATAATGATAAAATAAGATATTTTGAAAAGGTACCAGAAAATTAATTATAAATGACGGCTCAATTGTTTTTTGAAACAACAAGAAAATTACCTGATTTTTTCAGAATTAGTTTACCAATAGTTTTCTAGCTTTGGAAACGATGTCGTACCTGCAAAATCGCATGTTTCTAATTGGTGACGTCTTGAGTTAAATTCGACATATATATATATATATATATATAACACGCGGTGGATGTAGCAATGGCGCAAATGCAATCAATCGGATTCCTTATCGCGCATTGTTGCCACTGTATTCGTTCAATTCTTTTAAAAGGACTTTTACTTTCTCAACGAATTAATTATCTTCCGATGCTCATATTTGTTGTATAAACTATATATAATGTTGCTTGTTGCGTTATGTGCATGTTACGGTAACCGGTCCTTTTATTTCTCCATTGGCTCGGAAGGACATTCGCCAAACGTGAAATTGTCATTAGTCAAGCAGACTTACTAAATAGGCTTTGTCCACTTCGTCGTTCGGCGCTGGTGATTAGCGGAGTACCAAACTTAAGGTATATGCACATATGTCTCATCACTTTGTCTCCATTTACCTCATCAACTCTTCGATTATTCAATGAATACTGTTTGTTTTCCCTGCACGTTTCGACGTTATACGTCCGTAATAAATGACACAATGCGCCTTATCACCAGTGCCTGCATCCGTTATGTGTAATGTGTGTCTTTAGTCAACTTTTAGAATTGTGCTTTACCAGAGAGAATGTAGACAGTCGTTAAAGCTAAAAGGTATCCACCGTCCTCTGTCAGGCACATGTTTGTCGTTGGGAGCACAATCGCTTGACATGGAGCGCAGGATCATTGAGGAGTTACTTTACAAATCGAGTTTATTGTAAGTTCACTAATTTACTTCAGTAAAAACACATCATTAGTACTCCCGTAACTCGGGCTCGTAATGAAGTTCCAGCGATCAGGCACACTGAAATGCATTGGGGAATCAATCTGTCGTTGATGTCCAGAAGTTTCTTTTCTTTCTGCTCTAGTTCAAGAAGTTTTCATGGATATTTTATCTATACATTCGACATTTATTCTTTATCTTTTTCAGGTACCGCATACCTATACACAATCCCCGTATACAGCTCGCCCTTGGCTGGTTCCCTCCCTGGTTTTTATATAGGGATACATCTATCGACCAAGTGGTCATGCATCGCACATCATGGTACAAATAGTGAACTTTTCACCGTTCTATGCTCGTTTGATTTCTAATCGTTCGGTTCCATTCAATGAATTTTATGATTTATATATTAGTACCTTCTTCACGTTAATTTTTCTATGGGCTTAACAATGTAATAGATGCACATCCACAGTTCGACTGGTATCGTCATGTTTCTTCTTGAATCATTTTGACTGCTGTTACTTCGACCTCAAACGTACACTCGATTATCGATTTATGATTTGACCCCGTTGGCCAGACAACAGGCAAAGCAGATGCCTATCAGCTCAATAGCGCCAATGACGAAGCCAGCTATGCCGACGTACACGGAGAACTTCTCGACCTTCTGAACAAGCATTTCCATACAGCCCGGGCGTGCGCTCGGGTTAGCACCGCAGGACTCAGGTATGCTAGCGGGTTGCTCCAGGTTGACCCAGTCCGTGGATGAAGTCACTCCGCAACACTCCAGCTAACATGACAAAATAGATGTTATTAGTGGCTAACGCACTCGAAGAGACAAAATCGATAGTAATTGTTCAGTAGCAAACCGAGCACAATACCTGCGCTACAATACAGAAAAATTGTGTTATAAAGCAAGCAAAAAAGATTATGGCATTTCATATAACAAAAAGAGTCTTTACGGTGAACTCATTGAGCTACTTTTTTACTCAAAACATGATCAAGGCCATACAATGTATCTGCTAACCATATCTGCCTGAGCTAAAAGGCGCTACAACGCGCCCTCCGCCTTCTCGATCAGCTCAATGAGAATAAAGGCTCCTCATGCTGCGTCTCACGTAATATCAAATCATTAAATCTTTCAGTTCCTACATTGCTTCCCTCTTAGGCATCCTTAAACTGTAGTACGTCCACACATTTTACAGCATGCACTGCCCTAGGCATGTTCCACGCACGTTGAGCCATAGAGCTTCTGTGCGTTCCGCTCAGTTTTATATCCACATCGTGATCAACTAATCATATACTTATCGTCAAATAAATAACTTAATGTTTATACCCGTTTGAGAAAAACAACTAGCTATAATATTGACGGCGATAAGTGTGTCATGCGAATTTCAAATAACACAAAACTCGATCAGGTCCCGTCAGAATAGATAAGCATCCAGCATTTCTTTAGCACGTTAACGCGCCGGTCTCGTAATGTATGTCCATGCAGTCATATGCTGAGCGTCTTTCCTACCTGCTTCTGTACAAAGTCCCAAGCTTGCTTTGCCGGATTGACCTCGCCACGCTTGTAATAGTCGCGCATTGATGCTCTTAACTGCTGCTCGGTGATCTCCTTCGCTTTGCCGCGATAGACGAAGGCCAGAACGCCGACTGTGATCTCGGCACACAACAATAAGAACAGCAACGTTGAAAACTGCAATGATAAGCAGGATGAATGACAAAAAAAGACCGTAAATGTATGACACGAACGAAGAAGGAAGTCATCTCTTAGAAAGGGCGTACTTACTAGATGACGTTCAACGGTCCTACGAACAATTCAAATACTCCCATCATATCACACGTGGCTTAGGTAAAAGATAGTGCCTGGTAGATTGCTAGGCCACGAGGCTCGATTCTACCTATGGGCACACATACACAACATGAGTCAATAAAACGGATGACGTAATACCATCGTGAGCATGCAGTAGCTCTCCTGAGAAGCGCCACAGCATCCTAAGAAAGCAAGCAGAAATACGGCTACACCGATCACTATAAGAGCTATGGGAGCGCTGACGTAGTTCTCTCCAATGAGAGGGCCTGTCCCCTTCATGAAGTGCAGGGATACCGCGCCGCACACGATGACCACTATGCCGCATACCTGAAACGAACAATGTGCCGAAAAATTGTTCAAGTTAAGTTGGCCTTGAAGACAATCAGAATAAGATTCAGCACATCACTGATCATAGGGATCGACCTCTCTGGCCGGATACTTTCTGCACTCTGTACTCAGCACTCTCTGAACAATTGGCGTACTCGGCATATGTATGCAGATGATTTACGATACGTCAAAGTCAGAAAATGAAAAACAGATTTATCTGATTTGGCTTAGGAAAGTTAGAAACAGCATAACATGTACATAAACTTTGGTGAGTTTAATGTGGTCAAGTAAGCACCCATTTTTTTTTATAGAGAAGCGTCACAAAGTTATATATCAATAAGACTCTTCTTTTTTTTTTTATTTGATATCATTTCACGGTGAGCTTAGATGGTTGGATGGTTATTAAATAGGAAGCTACAGCTATCCGACCGATCTTCGATAGCGAGAAAGCTAAATTGTCACGCAACGTTTCAAAGCACCACTGCGTAAGTATTCGAAATACGTTACTGGCGAAAAAAAAAATGAGATTTATAAGCAACCAGATTGTGTCGTTACGCTTCGAATAAGTTTATCTAAAAAACGCCAACATTTTTACACACAATTACCTATAGGTTACCAATCGAATAGAGAGTAGTGGAAAAAAATCGTATACCTGCAACTAAATTATCGCTTATATGTATGTTTGTCATGCATATCTTTAAAATAGCTTAACTGTTGTACCACTGAAGAAAGGCCCCGGTCGATCCCACGGTCTGGACCAGCATTTGCATTAAGCCACTACTTAAATTTTAGGCCACATATAACCCACAAATAACCCATTAAAGCAAAATCTTGCCTTCAAGTTAATAACAATAACAAATAAATCAGCAGGTAGAATTGTAGGTAACCTGCCTATTTAAAGGTCACTGGGGATGTCCGTTACAGCTAAACACAAACATGTAGCGGATTTGAGTATGACAGCAACAGAGATATTATCCATTAAGGATCGACGTAATTAAGCGATTTGTGCATGTAATTTAGGTTATATATTTTATAAAAGAGATTTAGAAACGTTTCTAGTAAAGAGGTTGAACATTAGGTTTACCGGTTCGCAAATTGCATCACGTACACACGACCTACATATATAAGATGTGCTTCCAAACCGGTAAAATACACACTACGTATATTGAAACCTCTATTCTAAACTTCTTTTTAGAAGTGAAAATAATGCTAATACGGTCATATACCCGATTCGCTATTCCTTCAAAGTTTTGGGAAAGCAAACACAGCACATGATGAAATAAGGAATGGCCCAGATCTGGCGATTTGCTCCCCAGCAAGCACAAGCAACCCCCCAGAAAATGGAAAATATGGATATGTCCTTGAATATGTCCCAGATGGACTTCATCAGATAGCCTGCTTCAACGTTTAATGATTATTTTCCGAAAAACGCTTGTTTCGGTGTACGTTCGATGCGAACGACCACACATCAGCACATTCTTAGCGCATTCGACAATTTGGCCGTCCCTTTTTGGAGGATTTCAAATGAGTCTTCAGGGAATGTTCTGTCAACCGATGTCTTCATTATCTTACCCAATGCCACACTTATTCGGTGAAGCAGTTATTTTACCTATATTTATTGAACGCTGTTAATCATCAATTCTAGCATTCAGCATAAAAACTGCATTCGACCAAAACATTTTTCTTTTCTCAGCTCTGTTTACCTTCAATTCGCACTTTCTGCCCTTGGGTTGCGCTGTCAGAAGAGCCTAAAACAGCTTCTTTTCTAGTTTTTTATCACTATGAACTTCATCAAGCGACACTGCAAAAAACAAACGTATCGCCCAGAACTAACCATCTTAGAATGTTAGGCAACGTCCTGAGGAACTTAACAGTTTCTTTTCAATAGACTTTACATTGTATTGTGTAAATTCCATGACAAACCTCCGCCGTTTGTCTATAGAAGGTTGCATACTTCTCCGTTAACTGTTGGAAACAATAGGAAAAAAGAACAAAGGCGAGTAAAAAGATCGCTGACAGGACATTCGTTTTCGATTTGAGTTTCTTTACTGATTACTGACTCAGGTAAGAATAGTAGGTCTGAGAGCGCGCAACGATAGCGGGTAAATGGACTAATATGACAGCAGCAAAGTCTGGCAAATCTAGGAGAGGTTTCCCAGAACTACCCACTCGGGCCATCCATATTTGACCAACTGGCATAGATCTACGTCGCCTCGTGTCCTAGCAATATGAACACCTTGTTTCTTCTCCACGCGAACGTTCTATGCAAATTCGAATGCGATTAGAACGATGTAAATAGATGGCACGCGTTCGTCCGCATTGAGAAAATCATGAACGCTCTTCTGAACAAACAGATATGATAGATAGCACAGTGTTTTCTGAAGAGCCATGGCCAAGCTTCGGCGAGAAGCCGTCAAGGATCTGGTTACAGCGATTCCTGTTGGAGCTAATTCATTTCGCTATTGGCTCACCTACGTGTCACAGATCTCTTCCATGCGTCACGTTAACACAACTGGCGGCTGTGTCACATCCAAAAAAATATACATCAGCGGCCGCGGCTACGCCTTCCGCGCTAATACGGCACAAGAAGACTCTGTGGACAAAACGATCCGTAATAGCGGATCCAGACGCCCACCAGTTCGAAGTCTATGCAGATTGCGGTGGGTCTGCAACTGAAAAAACGACATCCAAACGACAAAGGTCTATCGAGACGAGAACATACGAACGAGCACATGGCCAAATTTGCCCCACATTTCATTTACGCACGATTGTCACCACAAATTTATTGTGATCAGCATAAGCAGTACTATTGTTTTACCTCGTCGGTTTAATGGGAGCGCACATCACAGAGGACGGGGCGAATTGTGTCGACTAAGAATTTAATGGGGCTTCAACACCACGCGAAGGGATAACGCAAGTGTACGGTATAGTTTTCCTAAAGGCTCGGTAGTAGCCAAATGACGGGCCTGTCATCTCCCTTTTCTATTTTTAGTTTATATTATAAATAGCGTCTTTTTTTTCGAATAATCAATTAAAATATCTTACTATTAACGTTTATTTGTTACATACGAACAAAACGTAGATCGTGGGAATGTCACCTGGGATAACGGTGTTAAAATAAAGACATATTAAAGGCATATATTGTCAATAGCCAATGCTATATATATATATATATATAGCATTGGCTAAAGTCTAAAAGATAGAATAAATTTATACTTTAATATGCCTTTATTTTAACACCGTTATCCCAGGTGACATTCCCACGATTTATGTTTTGTCTATATATATATATATATATAGTGTGCCGCTAATGATCTGTTAGATAGCGAACAGGGCGATAATAGCGACTTGGGATCATAACGTCCCGCCTTCTAATCCTTTAGGCCACCGTTATAATAATATCAATCACGTAAATCGATAACAATTGGGGTTATTTTAGCATCGTTTTCTGCAACAATGGCAAACAAGGAGCGATATCGATAACTTTTAACTCACTTAATCGAAAGCTAACCACACCAATTTGTTGCATAGAAGTCCTAATAAGAATGGCAGTACTCTGTGAAGCAACGAGCTAGCTTTATTGCTATTCAGGTTCAAACAACCTTAAAAGGTAACGAGTACAGCTGTTACGGAGTCAAAAGCGCGCCTATAACAAAATCATCTATAACAATCACCTATAGTACAATCAATAACGACGCGTTATCATGCAATACATAACCATTAGACTTTAACAACTGGTTTACAATGTAAATGCATCATTACATTTCGTTAAACAAAATCGATTAAAAAATAATCAAATCAGAAGATAAAAATTTATGCAGTAATATATATGAGAAATATCCGATAACATAATTAGAAAACTGCGGTTTTCGGAAATTGTTGGATCAAAATCTCAAAGTTGACTTCATTTTTTTTTGCAAAAGCTGCTATAGATCATTGTAGTTTTTCTAGTCTGAACGATTTATCGTACCCATATATTTGTACTACACGTAACTATACAATTATACTATATCCTAGCAGAAGTTATAGCTTCGTCATAAGTTTTATCTTATTTGTTTTCAGTAGACAAGGCCATATCACTCCATATATATCGAATAAGGATAGCCTTAAAAATGGACCAGGATATTGTGACATAATATTAGAATAAATATAGAGGATTACCTACTTCGCGTACATCAAAAATTCTCCACAGCGTACAAAAAACAATACACATTAGGTACACGGTACAAGTACTCACTAATACCTCAGTAGATAGTTCCTTCCAGCTCATTCGAAGACTAGTCTTGGCATACCTTGCAATAGAATGTACCACTTCATGCAGTCGATGTTTCGACGGTCTACTTTTTTTGAGCAACGATATGTCGTATGTCGAGTGGCATGTTGTTCAGGATAAATACTCGGCAAAGAGAAACGAACCGTGCTAGCCGTCCGCCTCGGCTGAAGTAATACCACACTAACTCCAGTCCATTAGGTTTATTCCAGAACCCGCCGGTCTGGTATATCGAGACTGCTGCTATTCACGGTCATCCTCACATAGTCTGAACTGTTCCTGGCACATCGTGGCGTTGTGTTTACTCATGTAATGACGCTCCACTCCCACTCTAAATAAAAAAACACCTCACACTTGTCGATCGCGTACGTTAAACCTCAGCTACTGTTGTTCTGCCGTTATCCGATACAAATCGAATTCAAATGAAATAATAAGAAACCACCACAGTCCCCTGGGCTGTTAGTTTGCATTAACCCTTAAGGTGCAAAGAGTGCGCTTGCTTCCTATTTGCTGGAAAACATCCTGAATGGATGTATCAATTGCTAATTGCCTCAAGAGCGAAGGCTATGCAAAGCTGGCGAGCGTCAGACTTATTCGTTTTTACAATTGAGTCTATCTCTGAATACTATGCATGCTTGCCTTGTTGTCATTTCAGATAGGAACTAGCCACGCCATTAAGCACACTATTCGTGTTACGGAAGTACCTCTACTAGAAATAACCGGCATTTTG